CAGCCTGGGCCACAGAGGGAGACTCCATCTTGGGAAAAAAAAAAAAATTATTTCCTTTTCCAAGTTACATACATGTATGAAGCTGGATTTTCTATTTACGTTTCAAAACAACGTTTTACAAAAGGTTGAATGCAGGAACAAATGATTGTCCAGCTGTTTTTGTTTAAACTAGATATTAAAGAGAGTTGCAAAAAAAAAAGAAAAAAAAAAGCAATGTTATCTCATTAATTTAAAAAATTTTAAAATATTATGAAATGGGTTTCTTCTTTTTTAAATGGATTAATTTTTAAAAAATTTCTCAGTTTTAATTCCTGACCTGATAAAATATCAGTAGGTGTATAACCTGCATGAACAAAAGCTCTCTGGGATCTCAGTAATTTTTAAGAGTATAAAGGGATCCTGAGACCAAAAAGGTGAGGGTTGCTTCCCTAACCAGACAGGAAGTGCATATAGAAATGGTGGCATGGGAAATGACTCTCTCTTCCCGTGCTCTAGGTGCTGCTGTTCTGAAAGGAATTTCTGTTATTTTTGTTTTGTTTGTTTAGCATATAAAACACATTTGGTTTTTAAATTGCTGTTCTGTGACTATCTAAGGGGTTGGCAAACGTTTTTATAAAGGACAAAATAGTAAGTACATCAGGCTGGCATAGTAAGTACTCTTTGCTTAGGAGGCAAAGGGGCAAAATTGAGTTTATTAGGTAGCTACTTACATAATAAGAGAGAAGACCAATTTCCATAAATTTTTTATTGATGAAATTCAAAATATAGTAATAGTTAAGTATAATGTTTTGTACCACAGGTCTACTATTAATAAGAATGGGATTCTTTTGGGGGATTATAACATTTTGCTTAATTAGGATTCATAGCATTTTTCATCATCAGATTTGTTTTATTTATTTATTGTTTTGAGATGGAGTTTCTCTCCATTGCCCAGGCTGGAGTGCAGTGGCGCAATCTCGGCTCACTGCAACCTCTGCCTCCTGGGTTCAAGGGATTCTCATGCCTCAGCCTACTGAGTAGCTGGTACTGTATAACCTGCCATCACTCCTGCTGACTGTCTGCCTTGGTCTCCCAAAGTGTTAGGATTACTGGCATGAGCCACCATGCCTGGCCAAGATTCTTATAGATGAACATTTAGTTCATCTGTAAAAACCACTTTTAGCTCATGGATTGTACAAACTTCAGCATTGGGCTGGATTTAGCACAGAGGCAGTAGTTGCCTATCGGTGATCTTTCTAGTCACTGAAGGGCTGTTTTTGCCAGATAATAAATCTGGATTGAAAGCATCAGTACAAACAAATTGGTAAAAATTGTCATACCCCTTTACAGGGGCTGTTGTGGTTTTGCCAAGCTTATTTCTGTCTGTATCCTACAAAAAAGTTAAAACTCTTGATTTTTTTTCCTGTATGCTTGCTATTGCTGACAATTTATTACGTACCTAGCATTATACCACTTATCATTGTTCAAACAAAAGGCTAGTGGATGTCTGTTTGCCTTCATGACATTTAACTGTCTAGTTGATGAGACCCAAAACTTGAAAAATTAGGGAAAAATAAAATATACATAATTAGGCCCTAAAGTGTATATTTTAAAAGCAATATGACTTCTACTAAAGAGAGATCCAGGTTAACAGGGATAGTTGAAGAACCTTTCTTGGAGATGAAATATGAGCTGTGCCTAGAAAAACAGTGCAAAGAAATAGAATGGAGATTAGCTATTTGTACGTTGTCATATTTCAGCCTTCCCTGCAAGTAGCCTCAAGTCCAGCACTGTCCAGTAGAAATACAGTGTGAACCACATGTAATTTTAAATTTTCTAGTAGCCATTTTGAAAAAGTGAAAAGAAACAGATGAATTAATTTTAGTAACTTTTTTTTTTTTTTTTTGAGACAGAGTTTCACTCTTGTTACCCAGGTTAGAGTGCAATGGTGCAATCTCGGCTCACTGCAACCTCCGCCTCCTGGTTCAGGCAATTCTCCTGCCTCAGCCTCCTGAGTCGCTGGGATTACAGGCACGCACCACCATGCCCAGCTAATTTTTTGTATTTTTAGTAGAGACGGGGTTTCACTGTGTTGACCAGGATGGTCTTGATCTCTTGACCTCGTGATCCACCCGCCTCGGCCTCCCAAAGTGCTGGGATTACAGGCTTGAGCCACCGTGCCCGGCCCTGGATACAGTCTTATCTGGATATTCAAGCTCGATATATGCCACCAGTATTTCCATCAGTATGTGAAGGATATAGATTTCATTAAGTTGGACTAAGTGATCTTCCATGAATGGATTATCTAAGACACCCACCCAATGAG